AGCCCTCTGAATAATACTTTTAGTAACCCCATACCTCCTCCTAATCTCCACACTACAGATTCTCTGCAATATATTCACACAGCATATTGCCCTAAGACACAACATCTCCACTGCCTCCAGCATTCATGTTGCAACATTCACCACCCATGCTTCACACTCTTATAACAGCATTGGGATAACTATACAGTGGTACCCCAAGTTTTGAACTGCTCCCAGCTCGAACAATTATGTAAGTGTATTTGTGTAAGTACGTTCGTAAGTGTATTTTTGGGAACAAATTCGTTGAGTATTGGCACTCGAACAGCATTCTGGAATGAAATAAGTTCGAAACTCGGGGTACCACTGTACTCTCATACATTCCCCTCTTTGTCTACACATACTCCTCTATGATTTACCTCACATTTCATAGACCCATCTGCCAACAAGTCTACTCCCAAATATCTGAATATATTCACTTCCTCCATACTACTTCCCTCCAAATTGATATCCAATCTTTCGTTACGTAAATTTTTTTATTATCCGACAACTCCCACTTTGTGTTTGATTCTTTATCTTTTAACCCCACACCTCTTGCAAACAGTCGAGCATTCATTTCTCTTATAACCCCATCTATAAATATATTGAACAACCATGGTGACATCACATACCCTTGTCTGAGGCCTACTTTTACTGGAAATACAGTGGACCCTCAACTAACGAGCAGCTCCTAACTCGACCAGTTATGTAAGTGCATTTTTGTAAGTGCTTTTGTACGTGAATTTTTGGGGGTCTGACACGGACTAATCTATTTCACAATATTCCTTATGGGAACAAATTCGGTCGGTAACGGCACCCGAACAGACGTCTGAAATGAAATAATATCGTTAGTCGAGGGGTCCACTGTAATCTCTCTCTCCTACATCCTCTAACTTGAGCCTCACTATCCTCATAAAAGGTCTTCACTGCTTTCAATAACCTACCTCCTATTCCATACATTTGCAACATCTACCATGAATGTAGATGAATGGTTCAGAGAAGCAACAAGTTGATAAATTAGACACATGTGCAACACTTAGGTATTTTTAATGAGGAAACGTTTTGCCACTCAGTGGCTTCATCAGTCCATACAAAGGAGAACGGTGAAGAACAGGAGGAATTTGAGGTAATCAGTCCCTCAGCCTTGAGTCGCTGTGGCCAGTCCATCAATCTTGAAAAGAATACAGCATATGTGCGAAGAAGTAGCTTATATACTTTAGGCAGGAGAAGTGCAGCAGTCATAAGTGGTATCACATTTGTCCAATGTGGAAGCAGGTCATGCCCAAGGGTTGGGCAAGTAAAGAATTCCCTGCATTAAGATCCCAAGATATTGCTGTGTCAGACAGGAATGTAGATGAATGGTTCAGAGAACCGACAAGACTGCTGCACCTCTCCTGCCTACAGTATATAAGCTACTTCAAGAATACAGCATATACGTGCTGTATTCTTGAAAAGAATACAGCACGTATATGCTGTATTCTTTTCAAGATTGATGGACTGACCACATCGACTCAAGGCTGAGGGAATGACTACCTCAAACTATTCCTGTTTTTCACAGTTCTCCTTTGTGTGGACTGATGAAGCCACTGTGTAGCGAAACATTTCCTCGTTAAAGATACCCAAGTGTTGCACATGTGTCTAATTTATCATCATCTACTACGTTGCTCCCCTATCCACCCTGTCACATGCCTTTTCCAAATCCATAAATGCCACAAAAACCTCTTTACCCTTATCTAAATACTGTTCACTTATATGTTTCACTGTAAACACTTGGTCTACACACCTTTCCTAAAGCCTCCATGTACATCTGCTATCCTACTCTTCATCTTACTCTTAAGCTACTCAAAAAACTTCTAAATAATTTAAGACTGCTCAACTATTTGATAATTTACTTCGAATTTAAAATTGCTTCAGTTTCATTACTGTATATTGCTAATGACTGCTCAACCATTTACTAATTCTTCCAACTTACCTGGAGTTTACCTGGACTTGTAAGTGTTTCAATCTCATTCTTTTAAAATGTACTAAATTGTAATACTGTAATATTGTAAATTGTTTTAACTTGTTCTAAATTGTAATACTGTACTTTTCATAAACTCTATCAAAACCTTAACTGCTCTACTAAGCTTATTAACCCTTTGACTGTTGCAAGCCCCTTTCTGAAACTGTCATTCTATGTCGATAAATTTTTTGAAAAAAAAATCTTATGAAATGATGGGGAATATTTTCCCGATGGTAATGACACCAAAAGTACAAAATTTGGTCAAAAACTCACGGAATTACGCTCCTGTGAAGTTAGCGGTCTCGGCAATGTATTCGCATTGGCGATTTTGCAGACTTTGAGCCCTGTTTTTGGCCAATTCAGTTGTTCCAGTTGACCAAACTCATAGCTATTTCTTTAGAACTCCATTTTTTTCTATCAGTTGAGTACAAAAAAAACGCCCATTTACCGATTTGAACTACCCAATAAAGTGGTCAGAAATTGGCAATTTGGCCAATTTCATGCAAATTAAAAAAGATGCCAATTTCAAAATAGGGTCCAGAATAAACTATGTAGACATTCTTGGCACTAAAATAACATATCCTCTGTTCATTAGTCACGTCTCTAGGCCCCTCTTATATTACTATTGCTTTCTATTTTGATTTTTTCATACAAAAAAATACAAATTTTACTGTTATGCAGACTACTGCATTATTGTAAAAATGGTATAAATAATATCAGTGCACTAGTGAAAGAATATTAGACTCCCCAGTTGACGTGTATTACACGTGTGGTGTGATTTGCTTACTCGTGAACATTGGTAAAAATCGAACATTTCCGCTACTTTGAGCTCAATTTCAAGGTCATTTTCATCGCGAAAGTAATCAAAATCATCTCTATTTCTGTAATATGTCTTCCATTTTATCACCTGAGACCATGAAAATGAGAATACAATGATAAATACTAAATGAAAACACACCTCAAATTTGGAGTTTTAATCCAAAAAAAACGTTCAGTTTTTTTTCTCATTATGCACTGCGTGCTGCAGGATTTTTTTATGTGGTGCACACTGACCACACAGACCCATTCTCTCACATGTGGGCCTACCAGCTTTCTCCCGCTTGATTTGAAGCCGCTAGAATTTACACATATAAATAGTCAGAAACAGTGGTGTGTAAGACGCATATATACGACCGAAACAGTCAAAGGGTTAAAGCCATACAGCATTACCTAACAGAATACTCAACTCTTTTGTACTCATTGTAACCCATCTAATGACCTGACAAACTGATATTGCCTAATTAATCTTAAGTTAATTTTAATTTTGCCTGAAATGCTCTACATATAAAGGGGCTTTTGGCATGAACACTCAACTATTATATTCCTTTGTGCAACCATGTATCATGTCAAAATAAAAATTATTATTATTAATTCTTTCAATAATAACTCTACCATACACTTTACCAGGCATACTCAACAGACTTATTCCCCTATAATTTTTGCACTCTCTTTTGTCCCCTTTGCCTTTATACAAAGGAACTATACATGCCCTCTGCCAATACCTAGGTACCTCACCCTCTTCCATACATTTATTGAATAAAAACACCAACCACTCCAAAATTATATCTCCACCCGCTTTAACATTTCTATCTATCCCATCAATCCCTGCTGTCTTACCCCCTTTCATTCTACCCACTGCCCCATGCACTTCCCCCACACTCACAACTGGCTCTTCCTCACTCCTACAAAATGTTATTCCTCCTTGCCCTATACACAAAATCACAGTTTCCCTATGTTCATCAACATTTAACAATTCCTCAAAACATTCCCTCCATCTTTCCAATACCTCTAACTCTCCATTTAATAACTCTCCTCTCATATTTTTAACTATCAAATCCATTCATTCCCTAGGCTTCCTCAACTTATTAATCTCACTCCAAAACTTTTTCTTATTTTCAATAAAATCTGTTAATAACATCTCACCCACTTTCTCCTTTTCTCTCGTTTCACATTTCTTCACCACTTTCTTAACCTCTCTTTTTCTCTCCTTATACTCCTCCCTCCTTGCATCACTTCTAGTTTGCAAAATCCACTCATATGCTAACTTTTCTCTCATACTACTCTCTAACTCATCATTCCACCAATCACTCTGTTTTCCTCCCTCTTCAACCTCAATGCCTATACTCTCACTTGCCCATCTTTCCTCCAAAAGCTGTTTGTATCATACCCTAACTGCCTCCTCCTTTAGTTTATAAACTTTCACCTCTCTTACTTGCTGATTCTGTTCTCCTTGTATCCAATCTACCTTTTACTCTCACTGTAGCTACAACTAAAACCAATCTGATATATCTGTGTCCCCTCTATAAATACACACAGCCTGAAGTCTACCCACAATAATAATAATAATAATAATAAAGCAATTGCAATATCAGTATTATTATTATATTCATAAGGCAGTATTAATCCCATAAGGGTCATACAGCATCTGGGGAGTAGGAGATAATGAGGTTTGTTCCAAGGAAGAGGCTAGTTGGAGAATGGTGGTTAAAATAAAAAGAGGCTTTAACAAATACTCGATAAACCTCATGTAGATGATACTACTAAGGTCTCCATTTGGATTTTGGATTTTAACCAAGAGGAGGAGGACAGCTCCAATTTATTGGATCAATAGCCTTTTAAAACTATTTGTTTTTTCCTTGAAATGACCAGCCCATGAAGCGACCAGCTCATGTCTTACCCAGCCCAGGAACTGAACAATTATCTTAAGAGGTGTGACCCTAACATTATATCTAGAGTATAGCTGGAGAAGGTTTTAGGGGTCAAAACTGAATTATGGAATAGAAATATGTCACACTGGTTGAATCTAATGGGTTATCCTAGGTTACGTTCTACAAAATTATACAAGAAGCCTAAATAACAACTCGCTCGAAAACTCCAAATAAAAAGTGACGCCCCTGACTCCCCTTACACTCTCATAACATCCATTTATTGACAAGAGACAAACCTTGGGTTAATAATCGGCCTCTAGATGCCTTTTTAACATGGGAAAACTTTTGTCCGTCTAGAAGAGATATTCGTCGTCGTCTTCAGGATGCGTGCAGATTACTGAGAAATTTCTTCCCCTTCCACTGAGTACATAAATTATGGTGTTGTCACTCTTCTTCAGGATACGTGCGGTTTACCTGGAAATTTTTTCTCCTCCCACTGACTGCACGAGTTAAAGTTTCGTCACTCTGGTTTAGTGATGCTTCCTCTCAGATATATTTCTAGCAGCAGCGGCGGCAGCTTCCTCCTCTCGCTTCTTTCACGAGTGATAATGGTATCTTGGATATCCCTGGAGGGTTCAGCACATCCTTCACGTGTTGTTCTCGCCTGCCTGTGTCTCACACCTGACAGAAACACAATAATAACAGAGAACAACACACTCACACGTAGAGCAGACGAAACCTTTTGTTTATGTGGCGGGATACGAGACTACATCTACTGGGGGCTACGTCCCTAAGATATCGCCAATTTTTGTTACTAATATTATTATTATTATTATTATTATTATTATTATTATTATTATTATTATTATCATTATTATTATTATATTATTATTATTATTATTATTATTATTATTATTATTATTATTATTATTATTATTATTATTATTATTACTTTTATTAAATAATAATAATATAATAATAATAATAATAATAATAATAATAATAATAATAATAATAATAATAATATATTATTATTATTATTATTATTATTATTATTAATAATAATTATTATTATTTCTAAAAAGAAAAGTTTACAGTTGATACAGGGTGTGTGTGTGTGTGTGTGTACTCACCTATTTGTACTCACCTATTTGTGGTTGCAGGGGTCGAGTCACAGCTCCTGGCCCCGCCTCTTCGCTGATTGCTACTAGGTCCTCTCTCTCCCTGCCCCATGAGCTCTATCATACCTCGCCTTAAAACTATGTATGGTTCCTGCCTCCACCACATCACTTTCTAGGCTATTCCATGGCCTGACTACTCTATGACTGAAGAAATACTTCCTAACATCCCTTTGATTCATCTGAGTCTTCAACTTCCAATTGTGACCTCTTGTGTCTGTGTCCCATCTCTGGAACATCCCGTCTTTGTCCACCTCGTCTATTCCGCGCAGTATTTTATATGTCGTTATCATGTCTCCCCTGACCCTCCTGGCCTCCAGTGTCGTCAGGCCGATTTCCCTAAAACCTTTCTTCATAGGACAATCCCCGTAGCTCTGGGACTAGTCTTGTTGCAAACCTTTGCACTTTCTCTAATTTCTTGACGTGCTTGACTAGGTGTGGATTCCAAACTGGTGCTGCATACTCCAGTATGGGCCTGACGTAGATGGTGTACAGAGTCTTAAACGAATCCTTACTGAGGTATCGGAACGCTATCCGTAGGTTTGCCAGGCGCCCGTATGCTGCAGCAGTTATCTGATTGATGTGCGCCTCAGGAGATATGCTCGGTGTTATACTCACCCCCAGATCTTTTTCCTTTAGTGAGGTTTGCAGTCTTTGGCCATCTAAAACTATATTGTGTCTGCGGTCTTCTTTGCCCTTCCCCAATCTTCATGACTTTGCATTTGGCAGGTTTTAAAATTTTAGGAGCCAGTTGCTGGACCAGGCTTGTAGCCTGTCCAGATCTCTTTGTAGTCCTGCCTGATCCTCGTCCGATTCGATTCTTCTCATTAACTTCACATCGTCTGCAAACAAGGACACTTCTGAGTCTATCCCTTCCGTTATGTCGTTCACGTATACCAAGAACAGCACAGTGTGTGTGTGTGTGTGTGTGTGTGTGTGTGTGTGTGTGTGTGTGTGTGTGTGTGTGTACTCACCTATTTGTGGTTGCAGGGGTCGATTCTTAGCTCCTGGCCCCGCCTCTTCACTGGTTGCTACTGGGTCCTCTCTCTCCCTGCTCCATGAGCTTTATCAAACCTCGTCACTCAATCAATCAATCAAGTTTATTCTCTATAAGGATTAGAATGCGGGGTTTACAGATTTTGGTTACTGTGTGGTTTACATGTAATAAAATACTAATTACAATCATAATGAAAAATGGAGTGTACATAAATGAGTGTCTAACAAGAAAACGTCAAAACCTCCTGTTCAGGCTGAGAAAACTTAAACAGGAAAACAAAATACATCAGTGTTTCACGCGAGATGAAAACATCAACAGGACAACAATATAACATCTCAAACGAACATGATTTCTCTACCTTCCTTAGAAAAGCTGACATTTCTATAACAGATTAGATAGGTGCCCTTAATACATATATACGTGTGGTGCATATAGTGTATGTTACTATTATATCATGAATTATAATTATTTTATTTTTCATCACTAGCTAATGCCAACTACCTCCAATATACTTCTTTCTTATTGCTATTAATTGCTCATAATTTTGTGTTACAAGTCAAATCTTACTCCAAATTAACATTATTCATCGTTCTTACCTGTCCATTTATTTTGTTTACCACTACTTGTTTTAGTCACCTTTTATTGTGTATGCAATTAGTGTATATTCCAATTACTTTTTTGAAAGTCCCAAAAACTATCTTCAGCTAGCTAGTAACAACTACCTCATATTTTTTTTTTACTTTTTATTGTGCAATAAACTACTCAACTTATTTAATATTACAAATCAGATCTTACTCCAAAACCAATATTATTTCATAGTGACAATCTGTCCATTTAACTTTGTTTACCATTACTAATTTTAGTCCCTTAATTTAGTCCTAGCTCATATATTCACAATTGTTAAAATTATCAAGGTGCTATTATCAGGTGCTAAATTGTAATAAGTTCCCTATTTTGCCATTATATTCCAAAACTCATTATATTGTTTTCCCTAGCTCTAACTTAAAAGAATTACCTTAAAAGTACTACCTACTATCATATTCCCAAGCTCCGTTATTTGATCATCATTTTATTTGTTCACCACAAATTATTTTAATCCCTTTTATATTGTTTCCTTTATTTTAGCTTTAATAAACTACCTTAGTTCATTTTTTATTACATTTGTTAAATAACTCAGGTGCTATCTTTTAGCACCTGGTAAGTAAGTAAGTACAAGGCTGCTCCTATATCTTGCCGTCCCCTGGGCCTATCCGAACTCCAGTGATGGACAAATTTGCAAGTACTGCTGCAACAACATGCAGGGAACCTATAGTGACATAAAAACTGACGGTGACGACAACGAAATGGACTAAATATGACAAAAGAGGGACCGGCATTCAAGTACCAGACCTGCCGTCAGACGTGAACCAGACATGAGACGTTTTCCACTACAATGAAATAACTGACCTCCATATCAACTGCACCAGTGTTCAACGGGAAGACAACATGGCAGAAAACCTGATCAACTAAATCTCCAAGGAAATGACAGGTCTGTAGGATTTTTTTCTTCAGTGCCAAACGAGGGAAAGAATTGAGCCTTTAAACATGGCTGACCGGCATCCAAACAGCAGCTACTGCCAGACGTACAACTAGCGAAGTGAAATTCTCATCTTTACTCACGTTCATCTGTTGACAGTAGCATCATATCTGTACCACCATCATATCACCTGTACCAGTGCTAACGAGAGGGAAACACAGGAAACATCGTCAAATCAACAGTACAAAACTCCAAGGTATAGGACGGTTATCCCTCAGTGCCAGTCGTGGGAAAGAAGTGAATAGTTAAATAGTCAAGGTTAATGTTTTAGTAGCTGACCTATATTCAGCTGACTAGTGTACAGTGAGAGAATCATAGCAGAAAAAGCCAAATATATCTATAAACTCAAGGAAAGTCAGGTTGTAGGTGGCGTTATTCCCCTCAGTGTTTTAAAAATGGCTGAGTCAGCAGAACAGGTCAGGAGTCAACAACACGACACAACCCCCGATAAATGGAATTGAGGGGGATTTGGAAGGATAAAACCAAACCTTTCTGGTCTACCTGAATGGAAAGGAGTTAGAAGTTAATTGGTGAAGCCAGACTGTGAAGTGAGGTGGGAAGGGGAGTGTGTAATAAGGGGTGAACTATAAGGGGTTTGTGAAGTTAAGGGAAAAGTGAGCAGTGAAGAGGGTTTTGAAGAGGAAATTTTACTAGTAATTCAGTGGTCATTGTTAAAGCAGATACTAAGTGTACTAGGGACTGGAAAAGAGAAATAAATATTATTTTATATGAGTAAAAGAGCGAAGAGTGAAAATGGCAGGCATTAGGGGGGTAGAAGATCCTACTCAACCGACACCTCCCTTATTAATCTGATGGATTACCTGAGAACTGAAATATCAAAGGGGAACCTCATAGGTATGGTAACCTTAGACCTGCAAAAGGCCTTCGATACTGTCAACCACAATATATTATGTAAGAAACTTCAAGCTATCGGTATAGGTTCTGTAGACTGGTTTAAGTCCTACCTTAGCAACAGGAGACAAATAGTCAAAATCAACAAAACGGAATCAGAACCCCTGCCGATAACATGTGGAGTTCCCCAAGGTAGTATTCTGGGTCCCTTATTATTCTTATGTTATGTCAATGACATACCTATCAGTGTCAAGTGCAAACTCCTACTGTATGCAGATGACAGTGCTCTGTTAGTGACAGGTAAAGACCCACAAGATATTGCTAATGTTTTAACACTGGAACTGGAGTCCTGCAGCAAATCGTTAGTAGACAACAAACTATCATTACACCTAGGGAAAACTGAAGCCATTCTCTTTGGCACGAAACATAAACTGAGAAGGGTAAATAATTTTAATGTTCAGTGTAATGGGGAGCCCATCACTTTGGTTTCATCAGTAAAATATCTGGGAATCCCCTTTGACCCATGCATGTCAGGAGAATTGATAGGAACAGTGTAGTAAAGAAAGCGAATGCCAGACTGAAGTTCCTGTGTAGACAAGCACAGTGTCTACCTACTGAGGCTCGCAGGACCCTATGTCTAGCCCTTATACAATGCCATATGGATTACGCTTGCTCTTCATGGTACTCTGCCTTGACAAAAAAAAAACTGAAAGATAGACTGCAAATCACCCAGAACAAAATCGTAAGATTCATCCTGCGGCTGGGACCAAGAGAACATGTAGGCCAGGATGAATTACAGCAGTTGGATATGCTGAATGTTGAAGACAGAGTAAAACAACTGAAGCTAAATCATGTTCATAAAATTGCTCACAAACAGTGTCCAGAATATCTTGCTGTCAATTTTGTCAAGGTTGGGAACCAAAGCAATCGTAGTACTAGGGGGAGAGAGCACAACTTTGTAGTACCCACAGTCATTGGCCAGGAGTCAAACACCTTTTATTGTACAGCAATAAAGAAATGGAACAGACTACCCGCACATGTCAAAGCCAGTCATAGCATGAACCAGTTCAAGAAGAGTGCCAAAAGGTGTCTGATGAATGTAGCTACAGAAAGGGAGGGGAATGATTTTCTATTTTTTAGCTAACATA